GTATATATATATATATATATATATATATATATATATATCAGGTTACATCAATAACGTGTTCTTCAAATACCTATCTTTTTATTTCAGTCGAAAAATGATCGCATCATGCACATTGGATAATAATATGTAGATGATTAAGATAGAGAACGCCTGTGTCCGGAATTAATTAATTAATTAACATAGTCCCAGTAACTACATGATTCATAGAAGTAATTTGTCTGGATCAGCGAACAGCTTATCAGACGGGGTTGAAGAATGTGACCTATTTTTCTCCTCTCCCCACGAAATCGTTACTACATTTTTTTGTTCATTTTCAGGAGCCTCCTCCAGAACGACCAATCTACGGCTCAGTTGCCAAACCGCCCGTTCTCAAGATCAACTACCACAATGCACGCGAACGACGAGACACTCTTCGTTTGGCTTTCAGCGCCATGAAATGTAAGGGCACCGCAACTAGACTGAGCCAGGAATTTTGGTTCATCGATCAAGCAAAAGGGTTCTGTTTTCCCTGCCCAAATGAAATTTAAATATCCCAAGTTGATGAATCGGGCTTGGTTTTCTCATATCACCTGCTCTTTTAAGGCATTTTTACGCGGGCTTGGATTATCTGAAACAGGTTGAAAAACGAACTTGTATCACCTGAGGAATCGTTATGAACGGCTAAGAAATAGGAGTCAAGGTCACCGCGATAAGCATCGCCCTGGTTGGCCGATTGCGCTAAGAGAAAGTTCCATCAACAGAATGACAATTCCGTCCATTTTTTCAAGTAACATACGCCTGCTCGTGGCAAAAATCGATGATGTCCAGAATCTGGTATATCAGAAACAAAGCAAATTCGTGGGGGTCACATTGTGGACGATATCGTGAAACTGTTTGCTGACACTTAGTAACGATTCACCATTCACATTGACCAGTCTTTGTACATTAGCGCTGGCGACTGTAGTTGGTTTGATGCTTTCGTCCTAACTACTCTAGATTTAGTGAACCTGGTAAATTTTCCCACCTAAACTAATGCTTATCTCGATGATATATATGGAAATAGTTCTTGTTTGTTTCATCTTAAGCGAGCTCCGATTTGCACTTCTGATTATTCTTCTTTACCGCAAAATATACTGCTAACCTAATTACTATCTTCATACTCTTTCATACTCTACGAAAAAGAAAGTGTTCCCCTGAGAACTTGTCCAGGTTTTTCAATAATCGACACTTTGTATAGTGAACATCGCACTGATTATCTCAATTTATGCTATAACCAATGTTGTCCTGTTGTTGCCTTAGAAGTGATAGGTTTTCCTCCCTCCACTCTGATCGACTGTGCCGTGCTAAAAAGAAGACAATTTACATGACCGGTAGGTGTAACAGAGCTGAAGTAAAACACCTGAAGGGAAAGTACAAGGAGACTGTTTTAGGTAATAAAAGCTGTCATGAGATGTTGACTACCCAGTGAAACCTCTGTGGCTCACGCACTAGTTCTTGTCCCAACGTTGAGTTACTCAATCATCAGTTCGCTTCTGTACTTGCCTCAAGCTTCCTCCACTCTGCTTTCCAAACAGAAGAATATGGTTGTCACACTTCAACTGCCTTGGCCCCAACCAAACCTACGTGATGACCCAAACCATGACCTCAGTCATGTCGTGATGACGCAACATGGCGTGACAAATTGCACGTGAAAAAAGGCCACCGAATTGACCTTTGTCCCCCCTCTTCGCCCACGGTCTCCATTTTATCCTTTCACTCTGATTAAACTTGATAGACATTGTTGTATTCTCATACTTAACCTCTATGGACCAATCACATTTCTACATTGGATATAAACACGCATATATAACTGTGAAGGCCTGAAGTTACGAAGTTACGAAAATAAGCTTGTTCGCTATATTGTCTGGTTTTTAATATTCCTATGGGAATCTTCCCTGAATGCTTTAAAAGTTTATGCATATTTTGCACAATATTGTAATTATGTAATACTTCATCCTAATTGATCGGCTATCGTGCAATACTAAATCTGTATGGACTGGGACAATTGAATAATCTTTTTAGGAACATCTGACGTCATCTCATTTTTTGCCCGCCTCCCGCACTCTTCTCTGATTTTCGTTCCCCATTAGGATGTATCCGATTGCGAGACTCGCGTGTATTTGTTGAATGTGTTGTGCAGTTTATTGGAATCGACCGAATTGAGCAATCCTGGACTGGTGGAAGAAATGGTGGGATTGTTGGACGAACTATGGCAACTCGGTATGTTCCCTCTCTCGTCCTTGACCATGTTTTGGATTAATCCGTGTAAAGTGTGTTCTAAAATTTTTGAACCAGCTCAATTTGCCAGGAATACTTTATGAGGTTAATTTTTTGGTGAATCGTTTTCAAGCTGGAAGTTTGATTTCCTACCAATAATTTCCCCATGTTTTTTAGTACTCCCCTTGGTCGATTGGTGGATTTGGCCCACGAAAAGTTTGTTTCTCATACCCATTTATGGTGAATAGATAGTCTACTGCAACTTCCGCCAGGATAATTGGGAACTCCTTTTACCATGCACATTTTCTCAATACAAATGATCTGCACCAGATTGACGGATGTCAGAGGGATGGGTCGATTGATATCAACCATTAAATGTAGCTGGTTCAGTAGCCAACGTGCACT